TTTGCACTGAGAAGTAAGGGTCACGGCCTTCTTGAAATTCCAACATGTTTTTACTGGGGCTATTCTCAGGATTGTGTTGGCACCTGATCACAGTCTCTTCGGAAACTTTAAATTCTTCAGCGAGATGTAACCAATACTGGGTGGAAGGTACATCTTGGTTACCATGACAGATTGGTCGGTCCAGTCGACGAGCAAACGCATCCATAACATGGATGTTGCTTACAACTGCGTCTTTCACATGAACGTCTGTGAGAAAAATAATAGCTAATTTCAAGTATCAAATTAACCACAGTTAGAAATGATTGAATGGGAGAAAAGGACAACATAATTGTATTTTAGTCACAAAGTTTTTGAATCAAGAAACCTTTCTAAAAAAAACTTATCCATGCATTACTAGCATACTTGATGTCGAAGTTCTCATAGGCTATGCTGAAACTTAAAGACACTAGTTTGTGGTCTCTCCAGAGTTTAAGGTCACAAAGTGTGAAAAAAGCCGACATGCTGTTGATGAATCAGATGATGTACTGGAAGCATGCCAACCAAACTAAGTCAACTCCGGCAAGCCATATTTAGTACTTGGTAAAGTAGAACAATGCTTTTTCAACCAAACAAGGTGTTAGGGAAGTGAAAAACGTAGTGAGGAATAAACAAAAGCTCATATATATTCATTGATTAAAAGCTACCATCGTAATTGAACAGTAGAAAAAACGGTCACCTCCAAAATAAAGCATGAATTTGTCAATACCCTGTTCCTGTGAAATTAGAAGAAAAAGATTAATTAGGAAAAAATAACCCAGCGGGCAATGCGACAGGTTAGCTAAAACTCGACGCATGAAGCCACACTTGTAACTTGTAAATCTGCTTGTGTGTGTATATTGATGTTTCAAGTATCTTTGTTAGGCATCAGATAGAAAACAAATCATTCGCCCAAGTTCTATTTTATTGGCGTTGGGTGACTGGCTGGAGGAGATTTCAAACCTTACAACACTTTATTCAATGTACAAAACAAATGTTGCTCAAGTGTAGTGAATGGGAGAAGTTTTAGGAGTAGGTTCTTTTTTGTCTGCTTATAAAATGCACAGTCAGGTATGGTGTATTATAATAACTGCCTGTTACGTAATGTCCAAAGCTTTAGGGGATTGGTTACAGCCCAACCCTCTGTCCATTTCGAGATGGCACTCTAGTATATGTGGCCAGTCTAAACTATTACCTGGGAATTTGACTTACTGTTGATAGAATTATTTGCTTTAGCTTCTGCTTGACTTAATTGACATTATCTCTCATTAGTATATACCACACAAGTACAATAGTGTTTTCCGCGCATTCTGATTGGGTAGCTTGCGGGTGAATAGCAAGTACTATCACCTCTGAGCGAACGGAGAAAAACAAAATGGTTTCCTGTTTCGCTTCGGTTACCGAGCAGCAAATTTTATCGACTGACTATTCAACTTGTGTGATACATACTAAAACAGTTATTTACATTAGTGTCGGTGAAAGTGGTGGATATTTACCTCCACATCGGTAAATAATGGTTAATTATTGTATGCAAAGTAATGTATTCAAAAAAATTATTTCTGGTTTGGTTAATTAAAAATGGGTAAATTAAAAAGAAAACCGAAATCAATCCTTTGAAACGAAACATTAATACATTACCATCCATGCAAATTCAAACCAAGGTACAAACGTCTCCACAGGAACTCGAGTATCTTCAGCAAAGGCATCCTTGGTGCAAAATTGTTCTTTTTGTAAATCAAACTCAGACCAGAAGTGAAGGCACTCTTCTTTGTCACAACGATTCATGTCATGCCGGCGACAGCAGCTGACTGAACCCTGTTTACAACAGATTGGACAAAGGACAGAAAATTCATATTCCATGGAACTCAACCAAACGAACTCTGCGCACATTCCTCGTAGCATGGATTCTAGTTGGCTTCGCACCATAAGGCCAATATTCACAGCTGTGGTGTCACTTTTAGTGTCTGCATTTTTGTGAACCACAATCTCAATAGAAGATGAACGACAGACCAGGATGACTGAGTAGCCTTCCGTGGAATGAACAGGAAATCTGGCAAAATTCTGGTACATGTCCTTGTGCAATGGTCTGAACTTTTCTTTGGTACACCACTGAAGGAACTTTACTACCAATCGTGGAAACAAGCCCAGAGGCACTTGAACATACATGCATTCTTCACAAGATCTGGCATTTGGGTTACCATAAGGAAAGCTCAAGGGATGACGCTGTTTAAATCTTATGAAAAGAGGAGGAAAGATGGCAGAAGCAAGAAGCTTGGTGGCATTATCATCTGGAGGACACATCAGCATGGATGGCACGAGGTATTGCTTGCTCTTGTCCTCTGTAGGCCAGTGACATAACAAGCTAAACTTCTCCATGATATGAATGAGGCTCTCGACTGTGTTTTCTTTGGTTTCTTCCTTGAGAAAGGGTTGCCACACTATTTGCAAGAGTTGATCATCCAGGATACCTTCATTCTCAAGCTTTTTCCACAGTTCCTCAAACTGCTCATCATTTAGCTGCGGGGTCATAGCGTTTGATGGTTATTACTCTCTTGAACAGATCGATCAACCACGGAAGGTCTAAAATCACCATTCTCTCTAACTCTGGGGTGCCATCAAAATGAACCAAGATTCTCTGGTCATGCAAAAAGTTCAGCAAAGTATGAAACTCTTGATCATCACCAATTTGACACTCTTCACTGGCAACTCTCCATGCTTCATCAAGAGAAATGAATGGCTGACCGCTGTCACTTTTGGATTTAAGTGCATCCTCAAATCTTAACCACTTGATTGGAATGATTCTCTCCATTTGTGGGAGCCCCTTTGCAACTGCAAGTACTTCTTTCCTCAAGCGCTTGACTTCTAGGCATTCATCTGTACTGCCAGACTTTGTGTTGTCCACAGTAAAGAACTTTTTCGTGAGATGTTCTCGATATGGGTTGGCCTGATCCGACAAAGAGCCATATATTTCACTGGCCAGCTCTGAGGCATGAGGACACTTGTCAGCATGGGTGCCCACTAAGATAACTGGAGGCAGCATGTTTGGCAATTTCTTAGAGCGGCTAAACTCTGTCAGTGAAGGGTTCTTGCTTTGACCTACCATAGAGGAGACTGAGGACAACCAGAAGTGCAGGTAGTCTTCATTTGTCTTTCTGCAGAAATGGTCCTTTTTCTGCTTGAAAACGCCTTGCTTTACAATGGGAGGGGCTCTGTCACGTGGATTTCTACTAAGGTCGTACACCAGGATATAAATTGCGTTAGAAGTCAGGAAGAGTGGGTGGGTGACATAGTAAACTGATTGTCCGCCAAAATCCCAAAGAATTGAATACACTTTGTCTTCATCTTTCCTTTCAGACTGCAGAAGTAATTTTTCGACACATGCCGCTGTTGTATCTGGCACTTCTTGCTCAAAAAGTTCCTCCTTTCGTTTCTTCTCATCAAGTTTCGGAGACCAGCTGCTAACCAACGATCCTGAAGTTTTTGATTGTTCTAAATTCTGTTCACCAAGCTCATTGTTCTCCTGTGCTGGGGAATCAATGTCAAGGTTGTACTCTTCATATTCCGCTTGCAGAGCGTTCGAAGACGGAGCCTTTCCTGTATTTTGTTCATCTACAAATTCAGAGACAATTTGATGGCTTCCGTCACCTTGGAAATCAGCCACCATGCATTGGGCTATTCGGTGTGGAAGCGAAACAGCAGAATCGGAATCTTGTTCCAGCTTTCTCTCCCCTGTGCTCCAAATCTCAGTTGTTACACTGAAATAAGAAGGATCTCTTTCTATTCCGTTAGTGCTGTCTTCCTCATGGTTGAAGTGCTGCCCTCTCAAAGACTTCTTTAAGCTGGTCTTTCCAGTTCGATCCTGTCCAATCAACATGATTGGCACCCTCATTACACGGGTCTTGCCCTGTTCAAGAGCCTTGTTATAAGCTTTGACGGCTAAGGGACCTCTGGCAAGAATCTCTGTAGGGACTGAATCATCATGTTCCAGTTAACAATATTATAATGCATTGGTATGCATTGCAAGCATATTGAACGTATCCCAGCCTAACATGACATGTTGTTGATGTGTTCATAAGATTATGCTCTGAAAGTTACCTTTTTCTGTTAGGCATAATCTTTGCCACTAGAAAAAAGTCTTCTTGATTCTGCCTAGTTTCAATTCAGTACAACGTCCTACAGAATGCGGATTACAAAAATTTAAAAGCCATTTACGACCGAAGTGGCCGGTGCATGTGGTGCAGCCATTATATTTTTTGTGTGTAAAATTGTGACTTGTTCTTCAACACTGTCTGACATACAAGTAGCAGTGCATCTGAATGTCATTATGCGAACTGTCCAGTCAGAAACTATCCAACATGCTGTTCCTCAACAATAACTCATATACTCTAACAAAGGGTATCATAAGGGGTTAATGGTGTTTTGGACATCTATTCTTAAATAGAACATATATAATCCCCAAAAGCTTTAAGGAAGAGTCATGCCACTGAAGGCTCAGTTGCTGTTGAATTTAGTCATGGTTCAGGACAATTAAATTCTATCGAAGCCAAGGCCTTCAAAACATGGTTGTAAGCCACTTAATTACTCTTGCGTCTATATTTTAACAGAGACAATGTAAAATGGAAATTTGTGGCATACACATATCAAAACGTTTGGCAAAGTTATGCTGTCGATGACACCGATGCTTACCAATGTTTCAGGGTTTTTGTCGTGGGTGTCTAGACTAAACTAGTGTGATAGTTGACAGCCACAATGCATTGGGCTATTCGGTGTGGAAGCACTTACCATGTTTGGTAATCATTTTCTCCACCAGCTCATTGCATTGATCTTTCCAGTTAAATCTATCCATGTATTCTTTCCTGAGTTGCTCTGCTTCCAAAGCACGGAAGGTTGGGTCTTTTGCTCTCACTGCCTTAATCTTGTCAGCCCACACCTGAGGATTATCAGACTCCACGACATGGTTTGCTCCAGAGGACAACATCTTCAGGGCCATAGCAAGTCCAGAATTTCAGCTAACAAGAACAGGTATATTGGCAGAAATGGCATAAAGACCGCTCAATCCAAAACCCTCAAACCTGGAAGGCATGATGACAACATCAGCATCAACAATACACTTGGCCCAATGTGCAGTGGTGCCCACACATGACTTTATAGTGAACTGATTCCAATCCAGGCTTCTGGCCTGGAGTATGGTTTGCAGGTCTGTAGAATCACTGCCAGGTCTTGAAACAAAAAGGAGGTGATAAGACTTGTCCTGCAATGATAAGATTGCTTCAACAGCAATGTCACAACCTTTGGCATTGAAATACCCGGCAGAATTTGCCGCATCAATTAATACACAAAATTTGTCACGATTTTCATGGATTTTATGGACACTTTTCCCATTTTGGTGTAATTCTGGAAAAATTGCTGGCGTTAGACAGATGACACTGGTATCTTTTCCAGAGTAGTGCAGCGCAAACCTGTAGGCTTCAGCTACTTTGGGGCCAATCGTAACAACAATATCCGCCTTCTCACACAATTCTATCTGCCTCTGATGTTCCTCTTCAGCTGTACGTGCAATAGATATGCCCATCGCATCAAAGAATTTCACAACTTCTGCCCAGATGGTATGCGCAACATGAATCCATTTGCAGTTTTTGGCCTTGCAAATTTTCTCAGCTTGTTCTCGTAGTTCAGGTGTAAAAGAGTGCATTATCAGATAGTCCATTTCAGCATTGTCAGGAGGAAAATTCAACAGCTCACTTGGCAAATTTCCCTTGGTATTCTCATCTTCGAGAAGTTCAATACTTGATTCAAGTTCAGACCGTCTATAGGTATCTTTGGGCACAAATCCTCTAAATCTGAGTCTTGCATCCCTGGCTAAGGTAAGTGCTAACAATCTATTTATAGTTGTATTCCACGCCCGATCATCTCCTGCCATGATAACCTCAACTTTTGATCCACTTTGCCTAGGCCCTGATGTTGATCCCACTGAAACGAAAACGCATTTCTAAATAAATTGGGACATAAGCTCTAGTGATTCAGTGTTACAGTACCCACTGCTGAAGGAAAAAAAAATCCCACCACATTATTAATTATACAGCTCTCTAAGCTGTCTGATTGTAAAGTTCTCCAGAATGGAAACAGATCAGATTGACAATTGAGCCTAAACGTTGTAACGACTAGGTGGCAACTGAAAAACAAAGATTACATTCTACTAGTACGTGCTGGTGATGTGCAGGGAAAAGGTGATCTTTGCTAAGGTCATCGTTATACATACTTTTGCCGCATTAGCCTTTGACTAGGTGTTTCCACAATGGCCAAAGAAGAGTTAACTGAAAATGTCATGAGCTGGTGGAACTCAGAATTTCAGCTCTAATTTTGTGAAACCAGGAGCCATAATCGGGGACGGAGACCATAAGCGCGCGCCATTTCTAGTATTGTGGCTGTCCCTATGATATGGGACAATTTGCCATTTTAGAACAAATTGCGCCATCACGTGCGGTACACGGGCGTACATGCCGCGAGGATTTTTGCGCATGTAGCGAGAGGGAAATGGCGTCCGAAATTCCCGAAATTTTTTATGCTTTTGGCCCACAACCCAATACGTTTATGTCTGTTGGAATTTTGCCTAAGTATTTTCGTCGTTAGCTGCTCTAACTTGAGTGAAGTAAGACAATGTCGAATTTAGGTATGTCCCACTTTATATGGCTAGTGCTGAAACCAGGAACGGTGGAACGCCGGATCACAGGAATACTTAAACCCGGAACGCCGGAATACCGTAAGACCAGGAATACTAAAACCCGGAAGGCATGAAAAATCCTAAATGCCGTATTAATAAAACCGGGAAAACAAAATTACTAAAACCAGGAACACATAAGAAACCCTAACGCCGGATTACTAAACCGAGAATACTAAAACACATGATTCGAGCTAAAGAAATTGTGCACGATTAAGTGGCCTTTCCCAGCCAAAATATAATTATGATAATGTATCTACTGCAGTCAGGTGTGCGTTCATCCAGGGGCGGAGGGGGAAACCAAAAGGAAAAGGACGGGGATGCTCGTAGGAAAATTTGAATTAAACCCCNGGGGGGAGGAGGAGGGCGAAACCAAAAGAAAAACGTCGGGAATGCTGTTCGGAAAATTTGTTCAACGTTTCAACTCCTTCTTCAAAGTCTTTCGTGGTAAAAAGGTCGTCGGGTTCCAAGGTATAGCACTTCACCAATCGATTCTATTTTCATTCCTCAAACAACTTACACGACCATATTTAAGCAATAGACCACTCTTGCTATGGGTTTACTAGCGCAATAAACCACGCGGGATGTTGGGAGAACGCGAGAAAAGCTTGTAAATCACTCTCCTAACGGTTCGTGATTTACAAGCTTTTCGAGTGTTCTCCCAACATCTCAAGTGGTTTATTGCGCCGGTAAACCCATGGAAAAAGTCTGTCAATGGGAGGAAAATTTTTTGTACTTTCGTGATCAAGTTGCTTATTCTCATCAAATTCATGAGAGGACGCGACAAACCAATCACAGCGACTGAAAGAATGAAAGCATAGACTCGGCGCTGGACACGAGATCCGCAGAGCAAAGCGACGAAAACATTTCAGGATAAGAAATTTTTAAGACAGGAAAGGAAACGGTTATCGGTGAAAGGCAAAAAGTGTATTAACTCAAAAGTATTATGTCGGGGAAATGCAGGGATTCGTAGGTGGAATCGGTCATCACGAAAATAAAAGGCTGTTCGAAAAGTGCGCGAGAAGTCCAAACGATAACTTTCGAAAGTTTTGCGATTGGAAGGTTAGTAACAGTGTGTTTCTCTCTGTATTTTGCTAAATATATGAAATAATGTATGGAATGTGGAAATCAAATTCATTTATCGTGTTATGCATGCATGCATAAAGTTTAAACTCAAAATTTCTGATAGAAAGAAATCTTTTCCTTGCTTTTTTGACAACCCAAATTGATCAGTCAAACCCAGCTGACTTTGTCCTCCACAGACCGTGGAAAGCACCGAAATGAGTGTTTAAAACTTCCTTAATCTTAATCTCAAGCGTCACCGGAGTCGGCGTAAAAGTTTTGCCGTGACAAAAATAAAAAGCTTTATATGACGACCAACTTCTGGTCCTGTTTTTCCATGCAAAGTTTCATGTATATGTTGAATGAAAAGATATTTGTGTCATTGATATCTCAGCCAGTGGAAGGCAAAACTGTTTATTATATTTGTCATCGCTAGAGTTCCGAGTTGTCTAGTTCCCGCGTAGAGCTGCCATAGATCGGGAACCGTGGTTTACTGGTACAATAGAACATAGCTTTAGCAACTCTATTGACCAATCAGAGCGTGCGTACTATCTCAGTTATTTTATAAAGTTTTATAAGCTGTTGATTTCGGCACTGCATTTTCTATACTTTTCTTGTCATCCTTCACGCTTATCGGTTGCCAAAATCTCTTGAACGACTTTGTTGCGGTATATATCCTGACTGAACGACAACTTGAAAATGCTGAACTGAACAGCGCGATGAAATTACGAATTAATTGCGGATATTTTGTCAGACAGTTTCCTAACTCAAATGGCCTTGCAACCTACAAGAGAAAGCAGAATCTGCGATTTTGTATTGACGAATAATAGCGATATGGTTTGTGACGTCGAAGTTGTTGAACCAATTTCGGACCATAAGATCATTACTTTTAGTATGAACGTTTATTCTTATCATCGGATATCATCTGAAAGAGAGTTTTATGACTTCAACAAGGCTGACTGGTCATTCTTAAATGAGTTGTTCGAACACATCCAATGACACTATGCGTTTCTTTCCAAAGTTAAAGTGCCTATGAAGTAAAAAATAATTGCTGCTGATTTGAAAGGCTTTTCAAAGTGAAGAAGAATGGCGTTTTCGTTTTTGGAATATCTTTTTT